ACCTAACAGAAAATGTAAATGTACCTGAAGGAAATACCGTGTATTACCTTACCTTAACGCTGTGATGTGTGTAAATTTGTCTTTTGCTATGGTTTTAGACAATACAACTTCTCCTGAGTATCAATAATGCGTCAAAACAAGCGCGATAATGAAATAGTCGAAGTGCCATGTTGTAGCACTTTATGACAAAGTTTTAACTGGAAAACTTGTTACCATCTGATGTACACCTGTATAGTCTATGTTTGTAAGCTCTGCCTAAAGAATCACTGGGTTACACTGCACCCATGGGTGTGCCACCTAAAGTGCAGCCTATGTTTGTTAGCTCTACCTAAAGAATCACTAGGTTACACTGCACCCATGGGTGTGCCACCTAAAGTGCAGCCTATGTTTATTAGCTCTACCTAAAGAATCACTAGGTTACACTGCACCCGTGGGTGTGCCACCTAAAGTGCAGCCTATGTTTGTTAGCTCTACCTAAAGAATCACTGGGTTACACTGCACCCATGGGTGTGCCACCTAAAGTGCAGCCTATGTTTGTTAGCTCTACCTAAAGAATCACTGGGTTACACTGCACCCATGGGTGTGCCACCTAAAGTGCAGCCTATGTTTGTTAGCTCTGCCTAAAGAATCACTAGGTTACACTGCACCCATGGGTGTGCCACCTAAAGTGCAGCCTATGTTTGTTAGCTCTACCTAAAGAATCACTAGGTTACACTGCACCCATGGGTGTGCCACCTAAAGTGCAGCCTATGTTTATTAGCTCTACCTAAAGAATCACTAGGTTACACTGCACCCATGGGTGTGCCACCTAAAGTGCAGCCTATGTTTGTTAGCTCTACCTAAAGAATCACTGGGTTACACTGCACCCATGGGTGTGCCACCTAAAGTGCAGCCTATGTTTGTTAGCTCTGCCTAAAGAATCACTGGGTTACACTGCACCCATGGGTGTGCCACCTAAAGTGCAGCCTATGTTTGTTAGTTCTACCTAAAGAATCACTGTCTTACACTGTACTCACGGACGTTTGCCTCGCGCTCTCTTCAAAGACAAAAAAGCTATAGTCTGTTTGGCCAAAAATCAAGCTTTGTTTCCCCTAAAAATTTTACACCATATTAGGGCCCCGAAAGACGTTAAAAGTTCCTCCATAATAGAAGAGTGTTTTGCTAGAGTTAACAAACGTTTGGCTTACATGAGTTTCAATATAAAGGTGCAAAAACTTATCAGCATAATTATAGCACACAAACATTGTCATCAAACTCCTGGCATGTAGCCTGAATAACTCAAGCAAATATGAATAAAGCATGTAACGAGAAATAGTCGTCAAATGGTCTCGTTAAGTAAATTATACTTCACTTTGCGAAAGAAATTTATCGTTTGTATCCGTCAGTTATGCATCGAAAAAGCGAGGAGTCATCGCATGACATTAGGTAACAGAGGTAATACTCACGAGTTTCACGAATTCCAATTCCACGATTTTTCGCCAAGTAACAAATTTAAAACTTCAATTCTTACCTTACAGTGGTCGGTTCATTTACCTTACATTTGCCAACACTAATAAACATGAACAAAACGATGAAATCCGGCACTCTTCTTTCAGAAGTAGCAAGCCGCATGAAGTAAAATCCACCGATATGCGCTGCATTCTCACTACAAGTGTAAACATTTGTCGTGAAGAAAATACGACGAGGAGGAAAAAATGCCAGATCTTCGCCTCGTCAATGTATTCCAGCTACCAAGCCAGCGTATCTCCAGAAGGTGGACTCGAAGTGGGACAAACCTTGTGATTTTTTTAGGAGCCCTTTGCGCGCAAACTAATTTATTCTGGCGCGAAATGAAGATTAAGAAAATGTATCTGGAATCTAATACACGACAAGAAAATTTTCGCACTTTCGAGGAGCGCGACATATTAAATGGGATTAAGTCGGATTAGCTGCCCGCAGAGAAAACATCCCTGCGTGGGGTGGTACTTCCAGTAAAAAGCCTCTGTGTCCTCTCATGCAAAGGAACAAAGTAAGATTATAAATTCGATAGGCTCACCTAAACTTCGGGAATTCCGCAACGAAAATGCAGCCATGTGCAGGCCATCTTCACTACAATTTCGTCACAGCTACATAATTAAAAACTTGGTGAGAAGATTGAGTCAGCCCATGATTGCTAGACCGATAAAAACAGCTAGAAGTTTGCAAATTCTTCACGAAATTGGACAGATTCTCCCTCACCAGTACAGGGAAAGAACTTCCGCCTCAGTTTATCGTGCAAGAATGTTTTAATTGGTCTAACGCTGACATGTGACGTGTCACGTGAATAATAAGCGAATTTGTGAAGGTGGAAGAGCGGACAGAAGACTTTGATGCAGGGACAATGGATGCATTCTATTTGAATACGAAAAAATGCAAAAAGCATAAAATGTGACAATAACAAGCAGCAAAAGAACACACAGCTTCTCGCTGCGGACCGTAATGATAGCCCAATGAGCTAGGGGAGCACTGAGCAAAGTGTTATACGAAGAGGGTCCGCCAACCTTTCCACCCCCCCCCCTATCCTTTTAGATACCATTTTTGACAGAAAAGGTACCCCTTTCGTATACCTTCTATTGACAAATGACACCCCCTCTAACTGCTGTAAACGCTCTATTTTTTGCAGATCATGAATAAATCCCTAAATCAGGAGGTATTTGTGACTCTTTTAGAGCTACAAAATGCATGTGTTAGTTATCCCTTTTGATTTTCCGTACTCTTCAATATGCTTCTACTGAAGAAATCCCTACCCATTCGTACCTGAAACCTGAACAAAAAAATATTATTTTCAAGCGGAAGCCACACCTCCCCATATAGGCCATTATAGGTAGAACACCTCCCATGATTATCTGAAGGTCTGAATCTACCACTGTAATGTACAATACAAACCTACGCAGCTGTTAGAATTTCGCGTCGACGGCTTTATTCCGCTATTACTTTTCTGTTATAGTCCTACTAACATAAGCCGGGATTTTTTTTTCAACATGGGTAATTCGATGCTCTGAATGGGTTTGGAAGAACTGAATAAGACAGAGTAATGTGACAGTGTTTAAGAAGACCAAACGATCTGGTGACGAACTGAGCCTTGAGAGTACTGATGATAACAGAATCTGAAGGGTTATGTTGTAAGCGAGGGTTTTTTCGTATTGTAGCAGGGTTGTGTGAGGAATTAAGTCGTCATGTTCTAAATATCGCTTCTTTTGAGTTTTACCAAAGTGGCAAATGATGAAACAGGAAACCCACCCGTTCCTTTTGACATCACTCCCTTCTCGTTGACACTCACAATGACAACTGGAACACAAAAACAGGACGAGGTTCCTAGCTCTTTTCGCAAAGCAGAGAGACTTGATTACGCATCCTTCTAAATAGAATGGAGTTGTATTGTTAATAACTAAAGATGTACGAGTCTTGATGGTAAGCTAGTTCTAGTCTATTACCGCGATTCAGAATGTGGGGTGTTGGATACGACACCGCGGTCAAACGTCTGAGCATGGATACAAGCCCAACGCCTCAGCATTGCAGGCTCATAAAAACGAGCATTTGAGCTAAGGCAACGATTTTTCGTGTATATCCAGTAGGATATCACCGCTTTTTAAAAAACCCGTCTCGGTGGTCCGGCCTCTTTTGAACCAGGGCCTCCAACCCAACAATCAGGTGACTTACATTTGTGCTGAACAAGTCGTGGGTTTTAACTTATTTACGTCACCGTAATTCCCTACTCCAGAAACTATTAGGGGAATGGATACAAGTTCTCGGTGTAAAAATTTCTGGGATCCTTGACTGAACGTTAGTTAGTTTTCTTTTGGTCGATTGTATCCAAGGCAACCATTAACCAATCATAGGTAACGCTTTTCCACCCAAACGATCCCAAAAATCCTTGCGCCGAAAGCTTCTACCCTTTATCCTGATAGTTTCTGGAAGGGAATAATTTCTCGTTTGGACAAGGAAGGTGGAAATGTATGCTCGGAAATCTTACCTCGTTCAAGTGACTTTAACAGAACAAACTTCGGCCTTCATACTACAGAGTCACTAATGAAACCGTGCTTAACTTAAGTTCTATGTTTTCAATCTACACCCAAAATCTAATTAACCATACAAACGTACCCTCTGTTGGTAACGTCCAATACTTAGAGGGTAGGGACGGCAGGTGCAAATATGATGAGGGTCACTGATTGTAACTTTGAGGACCACATAAGTTTGCCCATCAAGGCCGGATTCTTAGGGAACAGTTGTAATCTTGAAAGGAAGCAAATATGCTCCCACCTTGAATAACATTTGATAGCACTAATAGTTTTAAACAAGAACAATGCAGCTCTCATTGTGACAAAACAGAGGGTATACATAAATAATTGAGAGAGTGAGTGAGTGAGTGAGAAGGGAGACGTAACGTAATCTCGTAACCAGACCTCCCACGGCGTAAGACAGAGCGAGATCTGGGTACGAGCTTAGGGGGAAGATCAACAAAAATGTGCTCCATAAAGAAAAAGATGTGGAATATTTGGACAAAGCGAGTCTTGCATTGCACAAGTGAGCTGTCCCCCACCACTTCCCAACTACTGCCGACCGAACACGAATTTTGCGCATTTGTTTCTCACCATTTTGAAGGAAATTCGAAGTTTAAGTCTAATGAGATGGTGACTCATCCAAAAGCAAAGTTTGCCTTCACAGGGTTTTGTACAGAGGTAAACCTGAATTTAACTGCCCACACGAATCTTGACCACAAGCTATTTCAAGGTCGCGCCGAGAATTTCAATATAACCAATACAGCGTTTTCACATGGCGTCATGTCCGACATATTAATGGCCTAAAATAGTGAAATGGCGGCCATGTTGGTGTCCCAAACCAAACCTGTGGGAGTTGAACCTTTTTCTTATGCAAATATTTTCTTTTGTTCAATGAATTTCTAAAGCTGCTGGCCACGTGATTAACCACGCAGAGTGAAAACGCTCTATATTAACAAGAAATTCAGTATTCAGCATTTCTACCATGAGAATTTCTTTAATACAGTTGAAAAATGAATTATACAATTCTGAATGACTAAAATTGTTGCAATTAAAGCTAAACATAGTCAGCATTGTTCTCTTTTACTTGCTTGTAAAAAATGTTCATTGCATCCACAAACCAGATGCAGTCGATTCACAATTAATCGCAATCGACTTGACGATATTAAGTCATAGTAAAAAGGTACGTTCTTCGAAAGTAAATTACATTTTCCCCATCAATTTGTCATAACCGTACAAACGTCACTAAAGAACATTTTTTTCTAATGGAAAACATGCAAAGTTATCATTTCTATCAAACTTGGCCTCGCAGAATTTTAAGTCCAAGTGATAACGAACTTAAGCAACGAGAACGCTGACCTTCGGGACGTCATGAATAGCAACCAGAAGTTCGATGTCTCGTTTGATGCTTGATGGAACGCTTCGGTCGCACACATTGAATCTGAATGCCTTTGTTTAGAGCACTGCAACGAAGAAGTATCAACTTGCGGTTGTCATTTTTGACTTCCGGTACGTCAACGTTCTAGTTGCCTAAGGTCCCTAATAATTTTTAATTACGACATTAATTTTATCAAACTCTAAAATCAAACAACTAGCAACTAATGTTGTATTAACCTTGGCCACAATGGACCAGATGGTTTACAAGTCACATTCATCAGTTACAACATTTATCAAACTATCATACAAACTCTATTGAAATATAGGAATACTATACCAATCGTTAGTTTCAACATTTAACAATCCGTAAAACTACAAGGAACTCATGCTGTATTAACCTTGATCACACTGGATCAGAGGGCGCGCAAGTCACTATTTTAAGTTACAATATTTATCAACTCTAAAACTGCTAGTAACTAATGTTGTATTAACCTTGGTCTCACTGAACCAGATGGTGTACAAGTCACAATCATCAGTTACAATCTTTATCAAACTCTAAATCTACTAGTAACTCATGTTGTATTAACCTTGGTCACACTGGACCATATGGCGCACAAGTCACAATCATCAGTTACAATATTTATCAAACTCTAAAACTACTAGTAACTCATGCTGTATTAACCTTGGTCACACTGGACCAGATGGCGTACAAGTCACAATCATCAGTTACAATATTTATCAAACTCTAAAACTACTAGTAACTCATGTTGTATTAACCTTGGTCACACTGGACCAGATGGCGTACAAGTCACAATCATCAGTTACAATATTCATCAAACTCTCAAACTACTAGTAACTCATGTTGTATTAACCTTGGTCACACAAACGAACTCCAACATTTAACGAAGTCATAAGGCTTGGGATTGGGTTACATCGTACAACCATGTAATTTGAATTGACCATGGACGATTTAACGAGACTGAGCAATAGGGTGCAATTTCCAAACTGACGTCACATTCAAACTATGCTGTATAGACACACTTGCGTGCGTGCGTGCTTGTACAGTTAGTGTAATCAAAACGCACAAAAGTTGTTTACAGTTCAGACACCGCTGAAGGTGATCACGCTTGAGTAGTGAAGACTACGATGGAAATAGATGTGACAATAAAGGATGTTAGCATCGACAACGAGTACGAGTTCTAGAACGAGATCAGCGATTTTGCGTACTGCACATCGGTTCTGCGCATCTCCACGTTTTCAAGTCGTCCTGTCAAGTTGCACTACGACGAGTTCTCACCAAATACTCGAAGTGGATAGAACGACTGAGAGGAGCTGGTTTTCAAAGGTAAATTCCAATCGTTTAATGCAGTTTCTTTTCGTTTCTAGCCTCTCTTTATCATCTTGAACATTCCTTAGATTATGTTTTATGTAAAATACTGCTTTTGAAGTCGAGGAAAAGCAACCAAACGCGATATTTCCTACACAGAGTAAACTTGCCTTTACCCGGGAAAGTTTCATGTCTCTCCACAGGCCTCACAGGCTCACGAAATAACCCCTACTTCGACTCAAATTTGGCGCCCAGTCATGCGGAATCCCATAATTTTGTTTTCTATAAACTCGAACTCGGTGTCATCGCTAACATAGAAAGCTGAGAAAACGACTTCGAGTACGAGTACGGCTTGAAGTCGTTCTCGTACTCGTACTCGTACTCGTTGTTGATGCTAACATCTTCAAATGACTCGAATCAAACATGTAACGATTCTAAATTGAAAGTAAGTCCAGTTCAGTTTTGATATATAGCAGAAGGTCACAGTAAAGTCGTTTTTAAAAAAGGAACTAAAAACAAACAGGAAACGAAAAAAAATCTTACCCGTCCTCAGATTATCTCAGGCAACATTTAACACTATACAGAACAGTGTGAATATAACGGACTACTGACCGGGCTTTTACAGGAAAAAAAATTCCCAGTATCAAAGGAAACGTGTGTGATGTGGCTTGAAACAGAATGACTTTCCGTGTCTTCATATAATCACGCGTGGCCGTAACTTAAGGCAGCAATAAGATTAGTTTAGCTAGACGACTAGACAAAAACGAGCAGTGTTTGATTGGCTTAGCAAACGTATAAAAAGTATCTCCAGTGATGGGATATACACTTTGCAGATTATACGATTAGAATTGGAATTAGAGTTAGAATCTGTCATTAAGATTCACTGAATGAACGAATGACGTGCCGGAGCGACTTCAGGTTAGTACGTGGTGATATATTTCTATTTCAAGCCACATTTCTAGTTTGAACAAATCGCACTCGATACTGACAGTTGTTTGCCGTTTGAAGCCCACGAATCGTAGTTGTATTCTTCTACTGAATAAAAGCCTTTATTACTCACTTTCTTTTCCATAAAAACTTACGTCGAGTTCAAGTGAGTATAATGATTTGCTTTCTAACGCCAGTTTTCTTAAGTCATATAAACGACTTTTACCTGTAGTACAATGGTTGTTGATTTTCAATCCCAGTGTTGTCAATGAGGTGTTTTTCTTCAAAGCGTCGCAAAGGCCTGGTAACCAGTCATCACTCACTTCTCTGCTACTGCTGAGTGTCAAATTGAATGTGGTTACTGATGTGTTTTGTGCCAAACCTTCAAACACTCCAAGGTACCGTAAAAGCGATCCTATATGCGATATGCCTTCACCGAATTCATTTATAGTGAGATTTAATGTAGTTATAAACTTGTTCTTTGACAATCCTCTTTTGAACCCTTTGGCAGCTGCGTATGCAGTACGCTTATTCTCCACGAGCTCACCAAGTGACAGAGTAACCGTAAGGGTGGTTAATGACGGACTTAATTTATCCACGCATGCTAATAAAGACTCGTTAGAATTCAGAAATCTGTTAACATACACTGCCAGACTGAGTGTATTTAATAGGGTTGTTTCAGCTAAAGCGCCCCTAAAGGTATAAGTACTATCCCTCGCCATGTGATGACCTGTATTGATTACAAGACTGAGACTTTTAAGCGAAGTACACTTTCGCAAACAGTCACTCACAACCCTTTCCCAAAATGGAACCATGCTATCACTATGAACTGCAACAGACAGGGTAGATAATGGTTTGATTGCCGCCAAACTGTTAGTCACTTTAGCCCGGCGTAACCCAGCTTCCTCACTGTAGTCGTTTATTTCCAGGTTGAGTGTGGTAAAAGAAGTTCGTTTAGCAAAGCAGGCACTCAGTGTACGTATCAATTCTTTTATGTCACTGCAGCTGATTGTGAGACTAAGAGTTTTTATTGAAGTACTTTGCACTAAACATTCCCCAACGCCTTCTCCTAAGTTTCCATCCATCAAGCAGTTGTTTAATGTAAGGTCAAGAGAAGTCAGCGACGTGTTTTCTGCCAAAGCATCACTTAGGTGATGTGCCCATTCCTTAATGGCATCACCTTTGTCGTTGATTGCAAGACTGACTTTTTCTTTGCTTGTATCCTTGACTTCAGCGAAAAACGATTTCAGTGCCGAACGATTATCGACAGAGATATCAAGCAAAAGGTTCGATTCTTCTGGTGTTGCATACTCATCTAAATGAACCCTAAGGTTTGTTAGTGCGGAGAGAATTGTTCGTCCCTGCAATGACAAATTGCCCCAGATGTTGACAAACAGGAAAGAGAGTGTCTTGCACCCTTTCAAGCCACTTGCGATGGAAATAATTACATCATCAGTCAAGTTGCCGTGCACGTTTAAGGTCAAAAGAGCAAGGGAGGAACTTACCAAGACTTTGCATAGAGCTTTTGCCTCTTCACAACTCAGCTTACCCCAAATACTAACAGTCAAGTGTTGCTTTGGCACTAATCCATTTTCAGCCAAAACAAGGTCAATATGCTCTTCTGCTATGTTGCCCACGGTAAAAGGACAAAAGACATAGGTAACTAGGGACTTCTTTGCCGAATAAAGGGTTTCCATAACAGACTGCCAGTTATCAGGGACCTCACCGAGGACGACCACTTTAAAATAATTCAAAGAAGTATTTTCCAACAGACTTTTTTGTAGGATATTGACACAAGACGAACTCAACTTTCCACCAAGACGTAGATCAATAGATTTCAAAGCTGTCTGCTTTGCGAGAGCATTACTGACAGCAGCAACTAATAAATCCCGCACATCTCCACAAATGTAAAGGGAAAGGGATATCAAAGATTTATTTGTTAATAGCTTCTGTAAGGCTTGTATTGCAGTATGACTCATTGAGCCATATATCTCGAGAACAATCGCAGACGACAGCGGGTTGTCAACAGGCAATCTAAAGTCAACAGCATTGAAATAAGCCCCGCTATTCTCACCAGACAGTGTAAACTTTACTTTTGTCAGGCTTTGACAAGAAGCCAACCCATTGCACAATAGAAGAGGAAAGTCTTCGCTGTAATCCGGTGATACCGATTTGAGAGTAAACTCCGATAAACTCTTGCTTGCGGATAACCATTTATAAAGACGATCCTTATTAGGTGATCCCTGCCGAAAAGTGCCGGGAAGTTCAAGCCTAACGGTTGTCAGCTTGGAGATGCATTCTATACAATGAAATACAACGTCGTCATTTTCTATATCAATCCCCCTAACTGCAGCCGTAAGTTTAACTGGAGACTGTAAGTTTGAAAAACTTTTGCAAGCTATTAAAACCCGAACAAAGGGATAAACATCTTTATCAAGAAGAAATATTTCCTCTGGAAAAGGTATATTGCTACAAAGAGTAGTTGCCATTTGCTCAGCGTGTCCACTTTCTCTAAAGCTTTCCACAAAGAACGTTGCTGCCTGCTCGCTGCACTTGTTCCAGTCCCAGTCTCCCTTCTCATTTAACTTCTCCCCGATCTGAGTGAATAACACGGTTGCTTTCTCGCCCAGCATACCAGAAACAAAAAGAAAAACCTGTGAGTACTTCCCGACCAAATCATCAAACGTCGTGTACTCAAACACATTAAACTCTCCTCTTAGTAACTTGTGCGTGATAAAAGCAGCAGCCAAATATTTTTGGAAGGTCTTGTGAAGAAACCAGTACTCGTGTTGTGGGCTTATTCTCTTCAGACTTTCTTCCATGTAAAGAAGGCCTATTTTGCGCGCTACCAGGTTTTTATTTCTGACTTCACGTTCTGCCAATTCTCCTTCGCGAAACGATTGACGATCGTTCAGCAGGCACGCCCAAGCCAGCTCTCCAAGAGCAAGAACATCTTCTTCAAAACGTTTCTGTAAAGTGTTGTTATCTTCCGGTACTGCTAGATTGTGTTTTGCACAATATCGTCTCAAAAGACATTGCACAATGACTTGGTAAAGTTCCGTCCGAGAAGATGGCAATTTTCCTTCATAGTCTTCATAAACAACACAAAGGAGAACTAAATTTAACGGGTTACTTCGAAGTGCATGTAAAAAGGTGTTCTGTTCCATTTCCTCAATGAGCCTCTCCCCCTTTGGTGACTGACCAATGGTTTTAAAGTGTCTTCTTACGTACTCAATAGTATCACTTTCCGTGTACCCTTTAATCTCTAAATGAATGTCAAAGACAAAGGTTTTTCGCGCTTCAATTCCTCTTTCTTGTCGTGACGTAGCCAAGACATAGCAAAATGGTAAAATTCTTCTGTTAAGCAGCTCATCTACATGGTGCTGGGATTTTTCAGGCAGCTCATCCAAACCATCCAAAATGATCAAAATTCTCTCCTGGTTATGAATGTCCTCCAAGGAGTGTAACAATTTCTCTACAATCTTTTTCTCAATATCTCTGGGCAAAAGTTGTTCACTGATAGCTTCCATTATATCTCCATCAATGTCTCGGCATTTGAGGAGCAATACAACTTCAAACTTGGGAAAGGAACACTCCGTTAAGATTTTTCCAAATGCCCAGTCATAAGCAAGTTTAAGGCAAAACGTAGTTTTACCGATTCCTGGACTTCCTTCAACAAGCGTCATGACATCTTCACCTTTTTCAAGGAACTTGAAAATTTCAGCCACGTTCACCTCGTCATTTTCACTCGCTAAGTCTGATTGTCGTCCCCTTACCAGCCTCATGTTACCCTCAACTTTATCAGAAGCTTTGAAGAAATCGTACACATTCAACTCATTATTCGCGTCCACCCTCACGTCTGGACTTCCCTCTGCTAGTGTTTCGACATCCTCACCTTTTTCAGGAGCTCTGACGTCAAACATATTCGCCATGTTGTCTTCCATCTGGATGGCCAACTTTCGTCTTGAGACGATTTTCAGTCTCGTGTAAACGTTCTCTAGGGGTAACTCGATGGTGCTGTCCCAAAGAAGAGGTCTCAACTGATAGCGCCTTTTGTATTCAGCTTTGAGCAGTTCAACAACAACCGAGTTGTCCCAACCTGCTGGAAACAAAAAGGTGAGGGAATATTTGCCAATAAACACAAACGTAAAGACTTAACATTCCGAACGGAGTAATCTCACTGTGACATGCTTCTCCACAGTAAGCAGAATTCTCCTTATTTTGCTTACAAATAAGTATGTTATATAGTCTATACAAGTAAATGTTTTTGATGACATAAATTAAAATACCTTCCGTGACAGAATAAGCTTCACCGAGACAATGGTAACATTTGGCGAAAAAGAAAATGCAGTCAACGCTTACATTTTTATGAAAACTGTGTGGCATACACTCTCTGTAAAAACATTTCACTTTTAACGTTTACTTCTTAAAAAAAAAATGTACAAATCATTTGCGTTCCAAAACAGAACTGAGATCACTCTCAATTTTCTGACAAGTGATTGGTTTGTTCATTACACCGCAACTACAAAGGGTAAGGAATGTGGTTGGATTTTCAGCAGCCTAGCCTCTCACGCAGACTTTCCTAGGGCGTCACGAACCCCTTAAAAGGTCTGCGTAGGAGGCTGATCTGACTGACAAGAGGCTAGCGCTAAATAGTCAGTTTCTTACACTGAAAGTAACGTGATAAAAGCATAACCAGGGTCTAGGCCTAAATGTGGCCTCGTTCTACTTGTACCTTACGCTAAGCATATCGTGTTACAAAGTACGCTAGAAGTTTGGAGAGTGTTTCAGACGTGAGAATCTCAAGATTTTCTCTAAGTGTAACCGAGGCTACGAAACTATAGCTTGATCAGGATTTCCAGCTAGAAAGGGGGACTTAAATAACAAAGCCACTGCCCTGTGCAGCAGAGGAAAGCAACCCAGACAAACGCTTTATTTCAGGAGTGCTTTTGTTTAGGCGATAGGGCTGCGAGAATAATGGGGATGAGTCAAGTTGTGCAGGCGGGAAGTACTGTCACACTCTTATTTCGTAAGCTATACAACTTGTGAAGCCGTATTTTAGAGACACGAGACCGATGACACAAGACCATCCTAAACTCTCTCATACACATGTAATGCCACACCAACCCTTACTCTAAATAATCCAGAAACGAACATTACCTTCCTCTTTCAACAGTTTCAGTTGTTTTGATAACGGCCTTTTGCCTTTTCTCGAAGACCTGGATCTCTTTGCTGTCTTTGCTGCGCCGGCGCCTACAATTAAATCAATTACCAACATTAAAGGGATTACGTCACGAGTATATTGTTAATTTATTGGTACTGATTTCGCGGTTTTCGCAATTGTGGAAAAATCGCTAAATTGAAGACCCACGAATAAATATCCCCGCGAGATTTAAACAAGCGAAATTAAATACCCATACACAAAATTGAAATCACAGAAAAAAATGAAACAACTACAATATATATTGCACAAATACCGACAAATTATTGGCCGGTTAACTGGTAAGTTCCATTCCTTGACTGTGCCTTCTGTGGTAAAATAACGTTAATATGCGTTTTTCTTGTTTCATTTTATCTCGATATTTTAAAAACTTCAGACGTTTGAAAAATAAAATCAGGTTGAGCACGCTTTAATCGCAAAATCTAATGCCTTTTTTCATAATTGCCCAGCGAAATCGCGAAAATAAAACCCCGCGAAATACTGTCTTACCAAAATCACGAAATTAACTACTACTAAGGTAGCTCTCTTTTAGCTCAATTCTGTGCTGAAGTCATTACTGAAACAAAATACTCCAGTAGTGTTATGAAGAAGATCAAACAATCTTCATTAACGAGCACTAACCATAATAATATATATTTTTTTCTGATTTCTGAAGGCATAGCATTAAAACGTGTGAAAAAGTTGGCCCATTTTTTTCCAGTTTCAATCACCATCCGTAGCAACAACTTTTGTCCTGTTAACTGTGCCGAAGATATTTTGGTAATTTATAAAAGATTATTATACAAAAGAGTATTCTTAAAGCTAAATACACTAACAAGAAATCCTGCTTACGGCTAGAAACAAAGACAATTACAGTGGAACCCCGATACAACGATCCTCGATATAACGATATCCCCGGTATAACGATAAATATGCTATGTTCCGGCAGAAGTTACAGTAAAATGTATGGGACAGAACCCTGATATAACGATCTTCGATATAACGATATTCCCGATATAACGATGAGTTTTTAGCGCACCGAGCGTAAAATCTTCCCCGATATAACGATATTACAGTATCAGTACACAGATACAATTTAAACAAAACATTGTATTTAATACAATAACATTACAGTAATCGAGTACAGTAATCTGTAAAGTTTCTGTCGACAGCTTTCAGTTTACGATGCCTCTTTATCCTCCTTGTCATTTAGTAGTTCTTTCAGTTTTAGTATTTTTGACCCCTTCTTGTGACAAAAAGTAAGCAATTAGAGATTTTATTATTACGCTGGATGATTCGGGCGAACGAGAGAGAGAATTCCTTTCCTCTCTTTCAGCGATGGAGGATGCGTTTTCAAGATTGCAAATAAAACAAATGAGGCAAACCAAACTTTAAGAGTACTTTAATTAATGAACAAGTGTTAAAAAAGAAAATTAACGAACACGCAAACAGCAAAAAGTAAAGACGATTACAGTCGCAACTTCAAATGTTTAAGTTTTGTTTTGTTTTATACCACAGACTCTGTTGTGTAACCTTGATAACGTCTAATGCTTTGCAAATTGTTTAAGGACATTGCTGCGTGCTTGAAAAGCTACATCTGTTAGTCATTTGATACTCATTAAAAGTTTAATTAAACAATATGAAGTAAAAAAGTACATGTTCTTTTTACCCTGATATAACGATATTTTCGGTTATTTTACGGCAATATCGTTATATCGGGAGTCTCGATATAACGATACCTCGATATAACGATCTAATTCCGCTGCTCCCTTGGCATATCGTTATATCGGGGTTCCACTGTATTGGAGAACAGATAGCCTAGCAATACTAAAACTTTTCAAGGCCCCCCTACAGTCGTTACTTTGAGGGATTGCGAGGTTTTATGAACCGCGTACTGAACTGCAGAAAAGAATATCCCTAATCAATCACTAGATTTCTGCTGTACAAATCACATGGAGATGATGCAAGCAAGGCTAACCACGCTTGAGCCACCACGCACTGACAGCTGACTGACAACACGTTACCGCTCTCCTTGTTGTTAACTGCGTTAAATTTCATTTAACTTCATTATAAAACCTGAAACGAATCTTGTTTGTCGACAACTGGCAAAGGTAATCTGTGACAAACATAACAAATTTTGAGTCTTTTTAAATGAGTCTTGTTCAGTGCTTTGATCATTCCTTGTTACTGTACCATCCCGGCAAGGAATACTCAATAGGCTCTCGTTAGAGTACAGTACATTTTCTACAAGAAAAACGATCTGCTCTTGAATATTACAGCGGAGCTCCGGCGCTACAAGCGCGCCAGCGGAGCACCATGGGTAATATAATTTGGTAAACCATCCATCCGAGAAAATTTGGTTATGACGTAGCGTACGCCCGTACACTCTTTGCGGGGGAGGGAGGGGAATCAGGTGTCAGCCCGTCCGGGGGAGGAGCATGTTATAAATCGCGCGATGCATTTGTGCAACCCACCTGTTTCTTGGCGGGAAATCGCGCAAAAAATGACGTTGCTGTCGTCGCGTTCAAAAACATGTTTACTTCAACGGAACTACTTCATTGCATAAGGATTTTGTGTCCGGAGAGCTCAGTTTCTAGTAAACTGTTTCGAAGAAATTGTTATGGCAACAAACAATTGCGGATTGGATTCAAACTATTTGCTTGTAAGTGAAAAGCGACGGGAAAGAGAAGAAGAGAAAAGCATAGAGTAAGAATTAACAGGCGCGCTAGCGAAGAGGATTCAAGTGAAAAATTTACGCACTCTGCGACTTGTTCACTGATAGCTGAAGCTGACAGAGTTTTGAGTCATCTTTTGATGTTTTTACCTGTATTTTTGCACTGGATCTACAAAATGAAATACAGCAGCTATCAACATTCTTTTGTTATTCTTGGCTGGCTTGTTTACTGGGTTGTGGTTGAGAAATGCGCCGCACGACAAAAAGAAATCGGGAATCATCGTTTTCAAAAATAAGCTACTCTTAGTAAGCTTACTTCGCCTTGCTGGACCATGCGAAAAATCTTAAGCGATTCTGGCCTTACTTGATGGGTTTCCGTGCTGCATCTCGACCGGTAAGCTTGAGTAATTTTATTGCATTTTATGTGTTTTCTTTTTTCATGTTTATGCCGTCATTTTACGCACATTTGTAAGGTTTGAATCAATTTATCTGACCTAGTAAAGAACTTAAAAAGTCTTTAGACATTTTCTGACCGCGACTAGAAGAAAAAGTTCTGAAAAATAGTTTAGTTATCCTATTGTTTGTAAAAAGAAAACTTTGAGCGATATTCTTGCCTGGAGTTCATCTTGCAAAATAGCAAACACGGCGAAGGCGGCTTAAAACTTAAGGCTTAATTTAAATCTATTCGTGACTCAGCTTTACTCTCAAAACACGTCTTCGGGAATAAAAGTTGTTGACCTTTAAATGTTTCTTCGTATTACATTTCTTGTCTTGATTGTTTGTCAAGAACTCGTTCTCAAATGATCGCTTTGCCAGTTGTTGTTTTCAGTCGTCCGTGAACGCGTTGGTCACGCTCTACGTCCAATTTTTATGCTCTGATTGGCAAAATTTGACAAGTGAGTTTATGCGGAAAATTTATGCAGCATCTTGAAACTTGTTTACTGTGACAGCTGAAGCTGACAGAGTTTTGTGTCAACTTGAGATGTTTTTAACTGTCTTTTTCTACTGGATGTGCGAAATGAAATTCAGCTACTATCAAGAGTCTTCTGTTATTCATGGCTAGTTTGTCTATTGGGTTTTTGGTTGAGAAATACGTCGCCTGTCAAAGTCGGAAATCCGATTTCGTATAGCATCGACTCGTTTTCGTTTTTCACCTTGCTTGATTGAAAAGTCTAAGGCGATGTAGCTTCCAGGAGCTGCCTGAGTAATTATTGTATTTGTGTTTGTTTTTTTCATACATCTAATTTCATGAAGCCGAGCGCAGTTTATGAGGCTATAGTTTATGCATGTTTGAATCAAGATTTGAGATAATGATCTGACCTATAGTATGAGGTTTGATTTAAGCTTGCAGAACTTTAAAAAGTCTTTAGTCGATATTTTCTCACCGCAAATAGAAAGAAAAAAACGTTGCGTTTTTATTTTGGCTGTAGAAAGAAAGTTTTGCGCAATTTTCTCGCCTCGAGTTCATATATGAAAACAGCAAACACCGGGAAGCCGGCTTTAAAACATAAACTTTGGCTTTAAGCATAAAGACTCAGGATTCTTAGAGACACTTAAATACTTAATAAATTGTCTTCGTGAATGAAAATTGTTGTCTCTGTAAATGTTTCACCGAAGTATATTTCTTTTATTGATTGTTAGTAGTCTCTCTTGCAATTTGCCGTTAATGTTTTCAGTTGCAGGAGTACTCAAAACGTCGCGCGTATTAAACGCTTGTTAAGTTTACACATCGTTATAAAACCATTAAATAATAAAAAAAAAACACAATAAATTCCTTATTATGTTGAAGTGTAACTCTCTCAATGTTCATTCAAACACTCCACAGCTTGTAACTGGCCGGCCGTTATATAGGTGATGACGTCCTGAATATTGAATGACTGCAATTCATATTTCAAAACTGTGAAATACTGCATTCTGTCTGAGGTCTGTATGATAAAAACAGCGCCTCGTAGTACTGTTTCACCTCAGACTGTCAGGTGTGATGTACAAAAAGTATAAAAGGTTGGTTTACACGCCCCCAGATTTGTTAGCAAGATTTTGTAAAGCAAACTTGTCAAAGAGTTTGACTAATAGTCGCGGGTCGCGTGTCGCGGGTCCAAAGTCGCGGTCGCGGGTCCAAAGTCGCGGTCGCGGGTCCAATGTCGCGGTCGCGGATTCAATGTCGCGGTCGCGAGTCCAAAGTCGCGGTCGCGGGTCCAATGTCGCGACAGGGGAAAATGATTTGGGGTTCAAGGTAACTGGGTGAAAATGACTGATATGAAAACAATATAAAGGGAAAAAATCTTTTTTATGCACGATACTCTACGGTAGCCAATTTACAGGTTACGGATGTTAGAGTCAACAAAATAATGTTTCAAGAAAAGACCTAAAAGAAAAAGCTGGCCGACTTTTGTGTTCACCGCAAGTTCTTTTTGTTTTCTTTCTATCGGGCCCAGTTATGTGTAAATTCAGCTTTGAATATACTTATGCATAACAGTATCTGATAAAAAAGTTACCAGAAGTTACCATTGTTTTCTTCTTGTCTATGAATTGCTCACAGATGATTAGGGGCTCAAGAAAATAGTTTAGTTATCCTATTGTTTGTAAAAAGAAAACTTTGAGCGATATTCTTGCCTGGAGTTCATCTTGCAAAATAGCAAACACGGCGAAGGCGGCTTAAAACTTAAGGCTTAATTTAAATCTATTCGTGACTCAGCTTTACTCTCAAAACACGTCTTCGCGAAAAATTGTTGACCTTTAAATGTTTCTTCGTATTATATTTCTTGTCTTGATTGTTTGTCAAGATCTCGTTCTTAAATGATCGCTTTGCCAGTTGTTGTTTTCAGTCGTCCGTGAACGCGTTGGTCACGCTCTACGTCCAATGTTTATGCTCTGATTGGTCAAAATTTGACAGGTGAGTTCAAGCGGAAAGTTTATGCAGCATCTTGAAAGTTGTTTACTTTTACAGCTGAAGCTGACAAAGTTTTGTGTCAAGTTGTCATGTTTTTAACTGTCTTTTTCTACTTGATGTACGAAATGAAATTCAGCTACTATCAAGAGTCTTCTGTTATTCATGGCTAGTTTGTCTATTGGGTTTTTGGTTGAGAAATACGTCGCCTGTCAAAGTCGGAAATCCGATTTCGGATGGCATCGATTCGTTTTCGTTTTTCACCTTGCTTGATTGAAAAGTCTGAAGCGATGTAGCTTCCAGGAGCTGCCTGAGCAATTATTGTATTTGTGTTTGTTTTTTTCATATATCTAATTTCATGAAGCCGAGCGCAGTTTATGAGGCTATAGTTTATGCATGTTTGAATTAAGATTTGAGATATCTGACGTATAGCATGAGGTTTGATTTAAGCTTGCAGAACTTTAAAAAGTCTTTAGTCGATATTTTCTCACCGCAAATAGAAAGAAAAAAACGTTGCGTTTTTATTTTGGCTGTAGAAAGAAAGCTTTGAGCAATTTTCTCGCCTCGAGTTCATCTTTGAAAACAGCAAACACCGGGAAGCCGGCTTTAAAACATAAACTTAGGCTTTAAGCAGAAAGACTCAGGATTCTTAGAGACACTTTAATACTTAATTGTCTTCGTGAATTATTACGGCCGCATTGCACGTCAACATGTTTAGCGTTTAGTTCTTTGTATAGTTGCACATTCCTTTCACATTCTTTTCAGTTATCACTATTCATATTCTGTTAGATTTCTCTGCTTAACTTTCTTTGTTCTTAGATCATTTTGTAAGTTTCATCGTTTATTCTAATTCATTTCGCTTTAGCGTTCACGGCAACATCATTGCAGTTTTTTTCGTCCAGTCTTGTTAGCCATCGTACCTTTTTTCCGTTCAAGTTTCTAGTCACACAACGTTTGTAAGTATTTTCGCTTAGTTTCTTTCCGTTTCCTGTATTTTCGTCGTTTCATAGCTGTAATTTGTATTCCTTAGTAATTTGTATTTTTTGTTTCGCTTTTAGCAACCGTAATCGTAATTCGTTATAAATGTAATAAAGACGAGTTGGAACCGTGGACCATCCTTGGATTATTCGCTATAATATTTCGTTGAAACGTTATGGATCCAATCGAGGAACAAGTTGGAACGGAAAGCGACAGTTTGGATTTCGCTAATGCTGCTTTAGCAACCGGTGTAACAAGGCGAAGGCAGCGCACAGAAAAGGGAAAAGCATTTATCGCTCATGTTTGATGGACGGATTGCCAGACTTTATTTAGAAGAATCCAACGTCAAATGAAGGAAATCGATAGTTTGGCGACTGATGAAGAGAATGTGGACGTCGTCGAGAGGAATTTAACTTCATTTCGTTTTTCCGTGGAAGAACTCAAGTCGGGTTTCGCTGCTCTTTTAAATGATTTTGAGTCCGAGGAGGATTTGGACGTTGCGAACGACTGGTATATTAATCAGAGTGAAAAGATTAACGACTTCTTAGACAAAACTGTACTCTGGATTTCTATCGCGAAAGAGACAATCGAACATAGCTTGGAAACAAGATCTCAAGTTGGCTCGATATATTCCACATCTCATCGTTCAAAGGCATCATCTAGACATTCTAGCCGTTCGATTACCTCAAGCAGAGCGAAAGAGAAAGCCAAAGCCGCCGAGTTAATGGCCAGAGTTGTTATGTTGGAAAAAAGGAAAGAGTTGGAGTTGAGAGTCGAGAAGGTACGCCTCGAAGAGCAGTTGGGGGTGTTCGCTGAAATTGAAAGGGGTGTCGGCGATGCGGATTTGACTGGTCGTCAAGAATTGTCTCCGAAAGATTCTTCTGTACAGGCATCTACTTCATCTGGGCCGTTTCTTCCGACTTCCTCAAGCGCTTACACGTCTCCAACCGTTACGTCTAACACTATGACTAAAGTGAGCTTTACCGCTGATCTATATGACGCTCCTATGATACAAACTCCTCCTAAGCCAATGCAGCATGCAAGTCTGAATCCTTTTGCACCTGAGTTTCACGTCGCGGAAATGAAGCAAGATACAGAGCCATTAGGACAACCGAAACAAGAACCTTTCGCGAGTGAACCTCGATACATGGCCTACACACATCAGAGCACTAAGCAGTTCTGTGAAGTTCTTCAACAACAGAACAGATTAACAGAATTACTAGCGGAGCAGCAACAACAGAGTTTACTGCCTTCTCTTACACTGACCAAGTTTAGTGGCGATCCTTTGGAGTACTTTACCTTCATAACAAGTTTTGAATCGCAAGTAGAGGCTAAGGTCAGCGCGAATGATGTGCGTCTGCAATACTTAGAGCAGTATTGACACGGAAAACCCAAGGACCTAATCAAAGGATGTCTTCACCTTGATAGACACAGTGGGTACCTAGAGGCCAAAAGGCTCCTTAATGAAAAGTATGGGGACCCATACAAGATATCCAACGCCTATCTCAAGAAAATTAACGAGTGGCCCTGCATCCGACCAGGGGACGAGTTGGCATTAGACAGATTCTTCATCTTCCTAAGTCAGTGCCGGACTTGTCTATTCTAAATCATCCTCACAATTTGCAAAGCATGGTAACCAAGCTTCTATTTACGCTTCAAGACCGATGGCGCCGAGAAGCAAATAAAAGGAGAGTCGCGGGTGGAGTGATCCCCTCCTTTGCCGACTTCGTGAACTTCGTTAATGCAGAAGCGGGAATTGCTACCGACCCAGTCTTCTCTCGTGAAGCGCTCCGTCGTTTGGATGGTACCTCAGATCGACCTGATCGTTCCAGCAAAGGCAGAGGTAAAAGCTTTGGCAAGTCTAAAACGCCTGGGAACCATAATGTTACTTCACATCACGCCTTCAGTCACGCCACAGGTGTGACCGCTGACCAACAGTCAGGCTCACGCACTCCCATTAGCCTCTGTAAGTTGTGCAACAAGAACCATGATTTGGACGACTGTCAAGACTACTTGAACAAATCCTTGTCGCAAAGGAAGGACTTCCTAAAGAAGAAATCACTCTGCTTTGCCTGCTATAGTCCTGCACATAGATCCAACGGTTGTGCCCAGCGAAGGACCTGTAAGAGCTGCTCACGTCGACATCCAACGGGTCTACATGATGATAGCCTCGCCCTCAATCAGGAGTCCTCCAAACAGGTTAGCTCTACTCCTCCGCAACCAAAAGAGAACGTTTTGAATGCTCACACGAAGGTGGAAGAAGCCCTCTGCAACGCTGTAGGCATCGAAGAATCAGTAACCGCCGTTCTTGTCGTTCCTGTTAGGCTGAAATCTGCTGAAAGTGAAGTCCTCACTTACGCCATGCTTGACACCTGCAGTACCGGTTCGTTCGTTATTGACGATATCGCGACTACCTTGGGGGTGAAGGGCGTGAATACACAGCTCATGGTGAAGACTGTCAATGGTACAAAGTTGCACGACTCTAAGGTCTTGAATGGATTAATCGTCACGGACTTAAAGGGGGAGAATCCCATACAGCTACCGAAGATATTCACCAAAGAGGACCTCTGCACACCCCCAAATGTACCTACGCCTGAACTTGCCCATCGTTGGAAACATCTCAGAAACATAGCCCGCGAGCTGCCTACACAGTTACCGAACGTCAAGATTGGTCTTCTGATTGGCTCAAACTGCCCGAAAGCTCTCGAACCAATAGACGTATTAGCTAGTGAAGATGGTGGTCCCTTCGCAATCAGGACGTTTGCTGGATGGGCAATAGTGGGCCCTCTGTACATGTGCGACACGAAGCTTTCAAATGTCAATTACCATAGAGTTGCTGCTACGGAAGTTGGTTCAGGCAGACACCTCTACCACCACTTCATGGTAGAGAGCAGAGTTAAGGAGATCGTCACTCCACAAGCACTCAACAAGATGCTCGAACTGGACTTCAGTGAACGAACGGAAGATAAGGAGCAAGAATATTCACGAGAAGACATGAAGTTTCTGAAGATAGTCAGTCAGGGAATTCGTCACGCGGAAGATCATCATTATGAAATTCCCCTTCCTTTCCGCGTTGACAGCCAATGGTTTCCTGATAATAGAGAGCAATTTCTTCAAAGAGCACTATGGTTAAGAAAGAAGCTTATTAAGAATGAGAAGTTTTACAAGGACTATGTTAACTTTATGAGTAGCATCATTGCCAAGGGATTTGCTCGGAAGGTACCGTCTCATCTTATTCCTGCAAAGACGGGCCAAGTCTGGTACACACCCCATCATGGCGTTTACCATGCCAAGAAGCCGAACAAGATAAGCGTGGTGTTCGAGTGTAGCGCTAGATTTGGAGGAACATCGCTCAACGACAAGTTGCTACAAGGGCCTGACCTGACAAATCGACTTGTTGGTGTCCTTACAAGATTTCGCGAAGAGCCTATTGCGTTTATGGGGGACATTGAGGCAATTTTCCATCAAGTCCGCGTACCAGAAGGCCAGCGAGACTTCCTTCGCTTCCTTTGGTGGCCTGATGGAGACCTAACACAAGACCTTGAAGAATTTCAAATGAACGTCCACTTGTTCGGCGCAGTGTCTTCACCAAGTTGCTCAAATTTCGCGCTGAGAAAAGCCGCAGATGACGCGGAAGGGATTGTTGGAACGGAGGCCGCAGATGTTCTGCGAAAGAACTTTTACGTTGACGACTGTCTGCACTCCGAAGGAAAAGAAAATACCGCTATCGAAAGGATACGTGATGTTCGCCATGCTTGCGCCCATGGAGGGTTTAATTTGGCAAAGTTCGTCAGCAACAGCAAAAACGTTCTTGAAAGTATCCCGGAAGAAGTGCGCGCCCCAGAAGTTAGATCGTTAGAATTAGGAAGTGATTACTATCCAGTGGAGAGAGCTCTTGGTGTCCAGTGGGCAATCGAATCGGACATGTTTGGTTTCAGAATTGTCATCAAAGACCAGCCACTAACAAGGAGGGGAATACTATCAACCATATCTTCCGTCTACGACCCCCTGGGTATAGCTGCGCCCTTCCTGTTAGTCGGGAAGAAGATATTACAGGATCTGTGCCGAACGAAGCTAGGATGGGACGACGAGATTAGCGAAGAGTTCCGCGTACGTTGGGAAAGGTGGAGAGGCCAGTTGCCTGCACTTGAGCGTTTCTCTATGGAACGATGTCTGAAGCCCAATAACTTTGGGGTCGTCGTGTCGAGACAGATTCATGGTTTCTCTGACGCAAGTTCGACTGGTTATGGTCAAGTATCCTACCTTAGAATGGAAAACGAGAGAGGTGACGTCCATTGCGCATTCCTTATAGGGAAGGCTCGAGTTGCTCCCGTGAAGACCATGACTATCCCTCGTTTAGAGGTAACCGCAGCCACTGTATCAGTTCGTGTGGTAGAGATGATCGCCAGAGAGCTAGACGAACCTGTTAATAGCAAGCACTTCTGGACAGACAGCACAACCATGTTAAAGTACATAAGTAACCAAAAGAAGCGTTTTCAGGTCTTTGTCGCCAACCGTCTTCAGACGATACGAGATGTGACAAACCCCTACCAGTGGAGGTACGTTGAGTCCGAAAGGAATCCTGCAGGTGACGCTTCTCGTGGTCTTGACGGTCAAGAATTATCCCCGCAGGTCCGAACTTCTTACGGCTACCTGAGAGTGAGTGGCCTCAACTCCCTGGTGACCTAGACGATATCCCTGTAGACGACCCTGAAGTTAAAAGGATCTTGGTACACAGCACGGACGTCGATGAGAGCGAAGATTTTCTGACGAGGCTTAACCGATTTTCCGAATGGCACCGACTGAAGAAATCTATTGCTTGGATACTCCGTCTCAAGCCCAAGCAAGGTATTACTGACGATGGTACAAGGAGAGGTGGAAACGCCACAAAGGTTGAAGCCGAGCCTCTGAGGGTAGAAGAGTTAGATAGAGCTGAGAAGACCATTCTTAAACTTTTACAGAGCAGAGCGTTTCCCAAGGAAATGGGAGCCTTACAGAAGATTCAAAGAGCATATTCCAAGGACGATCGCCAATTCGCGAAAGCGAAGAAGTCTGAAATTAGGAAGTCAAGTACCCTGTTCCGCCTCGATCCCTTTCTAGACAAGGATGGACTCATCCGCGTTGGTGGTAGACTGGGTAATTCACAGGAGTTCGAGGAAAGCTTTAAGCATCCGGTTATCCTCCCTAAGAAGAGTTTCATCGTCGAGCTTATCATTCGCGACGCTCATAAGAAAGTCGCTCATGCTGGCAGAGGCATAACGTTGAACGAGCTTAGAAGCCGATATTGGATAGTTAGCGCGAATTCTGCTGTGAGACATCTCATTTCCAAGTGTGTTGTGTGTCGTCGTCTTCGAGGAACAACCGGTGAACAGAAGATGGCTGATCTGCCGGAGGAGAGGATAACATCTGCCCCTCCCTTCACCTATTGTGGTGTCGATCTGTTTGGTCCCTTTCAAATGAAGCAAGGCAGGAAAGAAGTCAAACGTTACGGGGTGCTATTTACTTGCTTAGCCAGTAGAGGAGTACACATCGAAACAGCAGACTCGCTAGAAACAGATTCCTTCATGAACGCACTACGAAGATTCATAGCAAGGAGAGGGCCTGTACGCGAGATCAGATCAGACCAGGGAACCAACACTGTGGGAGCTCAGACAGAGCTTAAGAAAGCCCTAGAGGAGATGGACCATGATGACATCCAAAGACGCCTCAGCAAAGACTTCAATTCTGATTGGGTTATCAAATGGAAAAGGAATCCCCCAGCTGCGTCTCATATGGGTGGCGTCTGGGAACGTCAGATACCATCTGCTCGATCCATCTTGTCTGTGCTGATGCGAGAATACGGTCACGTCCTTGATGATGAGTCTCTTAGAACCTTGATGGCTGAGGTAGAATGCATCATCAACAGCCGTCCGCTTACCTTCCCGTCAAGTGATCCCGGAGATTTGGATCCTTTAACGCCGAGTCACCTATTGACGATGAAATCAAAGATCGTAATGCCGCCCCCGGGTAACTTCCAGAAGGCCGACGTTTATCTCCGTCGAAGATGGAAACGGGTTCAATATTTGTCCAACGTCTTTTGGTCGAGATGGAGAAAGGAGTACGTCCAGACCCTACAAGAGAGAGTGAAATGGAACAACCCGAGGAGAAACCTTCAAAGAGGGGACCTTGTATTGATCGCCGATGATAGAGTGCCAAGAAATCAATGGAATATGGCTCGAGTTGTCGACTCACGCCCAGATTCAAAGGGACAGGTCCGATCGGTGAAGGTTGCAACGGCAACGACAACGTTGGAGAGGCCAATTCAGAAGGGAGATCTCGAAGGTTACTTCTGTTGGAGTAGAAGGTAAAAAGTTTTCGAAAAGACGGCGACAAGATGTTCTACTAGTTTTATTATTTTGGCTAGGCGCTCTGGAATTTAAAATACTGAATTCTCTATTTTTCCGTTGTCTTGATATTTTCCTCGGCAATTTCCCCCGATTTTCAGTACATAAATCTTTAAAAACAAAAGCAAACAGCCAACGAGCGAGGACACCAGTTTTCTTGGTTTGTTTTTAACAAAAAGCGTAGTCAAACAACCAGTCTGTGAACACTGAAAATTCCTTGAACAGCGATGCGATATTTTTCGTCTAATACTTCACAGTCGGCGATTGAGGTTTCTTTCGCAGTGAGCCTCCACTTGCGTACCCCGTTCAGAGAAGTCAATCCCGGCTAAACTTTCAAGTGAAACCAGTTTTAAGATGGACAGTACAGATTTGCACCCCCTTGTTGGTAAATCAAAATGCACCTTGTTAGCGGTCAACAACTTGCAGAGGGATTCAACTCAGCGATACACTCACTTTCCGTAATTAAAGCAAATCCTGAGAAGATATGAACAACCACATGAATTTTCTGAATTTCCATCGCACATATTAAGGCATATTTTCCTACCATAAGAACATAAAACAATAAAAAAGACAGCAAAATCGATCCTTCTCTCCACCGACGACGGATCATTCACGAAAACAACCACGCGAGGAATAAGTGCTTCCAACTTCCGGCGTTTCCAACAGCCAATCAGATCTTGTGGCATTGTTCTAACAGCCAATCAGCGTTACGGCCAAAATCTGGCCGTAACGAGCACAAACTTCTAATAGTTTGTATCAGGCCCAATTTCAGCGGTAGCCGTTAGAGAGAATGTATGAGAACCGCTCAAATTGGGCCTGATCTCAGGTTATATTCTGTTAGATTTCTCTGCATAACTTTCTTTGTTCTTAGATCATTTTGTAAGTTTCATCGTTTATTCTAATTCATTTCGCTTTAGCGTTCACGGCAACATCATTGCAGTTTTTTTCGTCCAGTCTTGTTAGACATCGTACCTTTTTTCCGTTCAAGTTTCTAGTCACACAACGTTTGTAAGTATTTTCGCTTAGTTTCTTTCCGTTTCCTGTATTTTCGTCGTTTCATAGCTGTAATTTGTATTCCTTAGTAATTTGTATTTTTTGTTTCGCTTTTAGCAACCGTAATCGTAATTCGTTATAAATGTAATAAAGACGAGTTGGAACCGTGGACCATCCTTGGATTATTCGCTATAATATGAATGAAAATTGTTGTCTCTGTAAATGTTTCACCGAAGTATATTTCTTTTATTGATTGTTAGTAGTCTCTCTTGCAATTTGCCGTTAATGTTTTCAGTTGCAGGAGTACTCAAAACGTCGCGCGTATTAAACGCTTGTTAAGTTTACACATCGTTATAAAACCATTAAATAAAAAAAAAAACAACAATAAATTCTTTATTATGTTGAAATGTAACTCTATTAATGTTCATTCAAACACTCCACAGCTTGCAACTGGCTGGCCGTTATATAGGTGATTTTGGAAATTTTTTTAGCGGTTTCGCTAAAAGCCCACGCGTGCTTCGATCGTCCTGAATGTTGAATGAGTGTAATTTATATGAAATACTGTGAAATACTGCATTCTGCCTGAAGACTGTATGATAAAAACAGCGCCTCATAGTACTGTTTCACCTCAGACTGTCAGATGTGATGTATAAAAAGTATAAAAGGTTGGTTTACACGCCCCCAGATTTGTTAGCAAGATTTTGTAAAGCAAACTTGTCAAACGGAAAAAATTCTGCCGGATTTACTTTCCCAGTATTTGCTTTCCACGCCTAATGTACTGTGATCAAGAACCATTATGGACGTTAAATGTGATCGAAGATGATTGCTATTTTTTGGGTGTACATATAAAGGCCGTCAACTCGATGTAAGATTTGGTGCACTCTTGGACTGTTAGCAAATTACTTTTTTCTCAAATCACTTAGCCTTAATCCCTCAAAACAAAAGTCACATGAATGTGCTCTAAAGTGAACTGATTTGTGGAATACAAGTTTATTGTTTGATTGAAATTACAAATTTATTAATGGGAGCTTCGCTTTTAGCGCTGGCTAAATCTATATATTACCACTATCCCCCGAAGGGGAGGTGAATAGTGGTGGTTCGAGGTATATATATCTAGCGCTATGAACCGACCCTGAGGGGGATAGTTGTTTTAGTATTTGTATATTTCATTCAGTTTAGCTTTAATGTGAAGTGCATTAGATCATACTCACATGTATTTCGCGCTATGGGTATTAAAATATGTATTTAGTAACTGTTACTAGCTAAACATCGCTAAACATCGTTAACTATAAACATTAAAATGGAAATCAATTAACTCGACTTAGCTGGACTTTGTAGAAATAAGCGGAGCTACTGTTTTCTGATGAACTTTTGATGCAACAACTAACAACCAAATACCCTGGAACGGCTGCAATTCTGACTCAAATTTGAAAATTTTCTGTTCACCTAGAAAAAATTTTGAGGCCTAAAAGAAAATCAGGCTTACATGTTTGGCAAAAATTACGATGCTTTTTACTGTTTACGTTAATACAGTTTTACTTTTAGACTGCTACCACAGTTGGGAGTTTAGGTAACCACAAGAAAAAGTTGACGGCAGTTAGACGTCTCGAAAAAGTAAAATTAACTTCGGTTTCTTTCAAAGTTATCGTAATTTTTTCCTAACTCCCACAATTTGTCAAATGTAGGTGAACTTTCCTCGTTGAGTTGAATTGTTAGGGACCTCATCCACATTCAAAAAGATAGAGAAAAATTTGTAGGTGTCAGGTTTTCACTCAAGGAACTGTAGCGCGATTTGACTATATTTTGGGCCAAA